TTTTTTTTTTTTTTGGTGCCATTCTGGTGGGTAAACGTATAATTGTTATGATATAAAGTCATATTTTCCTGATGCCCAATGAAGCAGAGCTCCTTTTCAAATTTGTGCAGGTCATTGGAATACATTATCTAGTGAAGTATCTATTCAGATCTTTTGCTCATTATTCTATTGGATTGTCTGAGGGCAGGAGAAGGAAACATTCAAATGTTTTCTGCTTTCCTTTCCTGAGATTAGCATGTCCAGGTGCTCACCAGCTCTATTCTCATCCTTGTGATGGGGGAAGAGCTGCTTGGTTATTGACTCTGAATCTTAAGGTGTCTGAGAGGTCTTGCCAGTGGGAGGGGGATAGTAACCCTGCTGCCCTGGGGGGAGGCGTCCCCCTTCACAGCTCTGCAGTTGATATCAGGAAGGAAGGGAGGAGTTGGTGGAGGAAGCTGGGGAGGGGGTTAATTTTTAGCAGGCCACAGAAGCAGGCGTGGAACCTTCTGATGATCTGCAATGTGTGCTTCTGCCCTTGGTATTTGCAGCCAGGGAGGAACTGGAATTCTCATGGCCCCTCTTCAACAGCTTCTCCTATGTTTATGTTAGCTTAGTTATTCCTCAGGTCAGCTCCTCTAAGAGGGGTCATTGTCACTTTTACAAAACAAGAAAACTGAGACAGCTGGCGAGTGGAGAGGCTGGACTTAAACGCAGCCTCTTCCCCACCCCACTGTCTGGCACGGGGAAATGCCGGGGGCCTGGGGCTAGAGGTGACCCTCCCCCCTTCCTCTTCTGTTCAGTCTGGGGTGCTGTTCCTTAAGAGTAGGTGGAAGTCCTCATTCCCTAGTGGAGATTTTGAAAGAAAAGGAGGCGCTGTGAATCCTGAGCCTCAGTTGCAGCACCTGCCCCCAGTGGACCAGGAGGCCGGGACTGAAACTCGAGTTTTCTTTGGGCCTGGTGGGCATGGGGAGGAACGGCATGGCCCCCTCCCACAGGAATTTCTGGTGTGGGGTTGTCACCCTCCCCAGTGGCTCTCCCTGGAGGCCCTGGTCTCTGGGTTGGGTAAGGGCGGCTCCCAAGCCCTTAGCACTCACCTGCTCCTTTGCTTTCTCACAGAGTTATGTCATGCCCAGACCAGCAGAGGGCTCCATGAGGATTTATAGAAGATGCCCCGCCTCTCGGCGCCTTTGGTGCTGCTTCCAGCGTGGCTCGTGATGGTGGCCTGCAGCCCGCACTCCCTGAGGATCGGTAAGTGTGGCCTGGCTAAGTGATGCTCCTAACCATTACTCCAAGGATCCATAGGCGACATCCGGGTGCTGCCCAAGCCTTGCAGGAGGCTGCCCGACCCTGCACTGTGCCTTCCTGAGTTTGGCTGGAGCAGAGGTGGGGACGGAGGAGGCAGAGGTGGGGACGGAGGAGGCGGAGGTGGTGGTTTTGAGGCAGCAAGAGGTTGACAGATCTGATCTGGTTGACTTGAGCTCCCCTGGTGATAACTTCCTGGTACAATTCATGACAGAATCAGCCTACCCATGAAGAGGCAAAGAAGGGTGAGAATGGCCATGGGGAGTTCAAATCCAGGGCTAGAGGAAAGAGAACAGGTCACTTCTCCTCTTCTCTGACCAATCAAAGAACCCTGGAGATGGTGGTGTGTCCTTGGCAATTTGGATAAATCCAGGAGTCTGCTTGGTGACCCTGCCCTTGGCTTGCTGTTTGCTGGCTGTGGCTTGATTCTGAGAGGAAGGGCAGGATCCCTTCCGTCTCTCCCTGTCCTTGTTGCTTGGGTGGGTAGGCAGGGATGCTACCTGTACCATCAGCAACTCCAAACCTAGAGCCAGGGGTGGGGGGATCATGTGTCTCCTCTCTTGCTGGGACTGAGTGAGGCTGGCCAACTGCAGGCCAAGGCATTCCAGATCTCCAGTACTGGGGACCCAGTCCTGGCTGCAGGGCTGAGGACGGTCTAGTGCAGCAGGCCCAATGTGGGCATCAGAGGGCTCAGCCAGGGAACCTGTGGGGTCAGGTCAGATGGGAGGGTGTCGGTAGTTTCTATATGTGCATGTGGGGTGGGGGCCAGAGTGGACAGATGGGTGGGCCACAGCAGTGATAAATCTAACTCTGTGTTGGTAACAAGAAGACCCACCAGCAGGGACCCAGGAACAAGGTTGGGCGACAGCCCTATAAGAGTAAAATACCAGGCAGGTTATCCAGATGGATGACCACATGAGGCTTCTCTTCACAGACTAGGGTGGGAGCCGTGTGTGGGTGACCTAAATGATGCTGGATCTGGATCCTAAACCCGATCCTAAAAGGACTTAAGGTTTAAGGCTAAATCCAGGGAAAGGACTTCAAACTCCAAGATTCCTCCAATTGCCATCAGGACTGGTCCTAAGGGCTGAGATTATGGTTGGCATGTGGTGATGGTCCAGCACGGGCAGAGGCGGGTCAATAGCTGAGACCCTGGCCAAGCCAGGCCGGAGGCTGAGCCTGCGGGTCTCTGAGCTGCCCCTTGTGATACCGTGCGCATGCTTCTGTGCATATGTAGAGGCTCTGCTTGAAATCAGAAGTATGCATAAGTGACTCCACTCTCCTCTCACCCTGCCCTGACTTCCTGCTCTACAGTCTTTATAAAAAAAAAATTAGGGGGAATTAAAAACAAAATCTTCCCTCCCTCTTCTTCATTCATTTCTGCAGCAACTTCAAAATCTAATTTAATTCTGCTTAGTGGCAGTGCGAAAATGGTTCATATCCTTAAGATGCTTATTTATAAGATGCCTACAGTTATTCAGCATTTGCTGCAAGGTTTTCTAGGCCCTCTAAATGAGCGGATAAAGCGGTAACCCATCAATTTCCATTTGTCAATAATGGGAAGCGGAAAGGGATTGAGCCAGAATTGGGAGTGCCTCACGGCCTTGGCTCTCCTGACACTTGTTCTCCTGGAGGGAAACAGAAAGTGGAGCCAACAGATCCCTCTCTTGGCTGCTGTGCTGACAACAGAGGGCTTTGCAGGGACCCTTTATGCTCCCACATCCACACTTTGCCCGGTGCTTGTTCAGCTGTCAATCAAGACTCTGCTGGCCTCCAGCTTTGGTTCATGCCAGGCCACTTCCCGCGATTTCCAGCTGAGGGCTTGCTGGCTGACAAGGTCAAACTGGCCCCATCTCCTGCAGAGACCAGGAAGCAGAGTTAAGCCAAGGAAGAGAAAGAAAAGAGAAAAACCCAAACAGCAATGCCAGGACCTGTTTTCCTGTCTCCTTGATTATCTTGAGAGTTAGGAGCTTTTAAAAATCTCCCCATCCTTGTGGATGGAGAGGTGCTAATTACATGCACTCCAGAAGGGAAGTGGAGTAGGGCAGGGATGGAAAGAGAAATAGGTCAAGAAAATATGAGTAGCTGTGCCTCATGGTAGGCAGCCGTGCATGCAGGTGGGCTTGCTGGGCAGACTGTTTTGGGGTCTCCCAAGTCCTTGAGAATCTCCTGGGAAAGGGGATCACTGCTCCCAGCATTGGAGATTTGGAGGGTTTTCCCCAGTTCCCCAGTCTCAGAGTGGATGGCTGTCAAAACAGGTCTGCACAAAAGAACCCAGAATCTCAGAGATAAATGGTCCAGCTTGCCCCATCCTCAGCCCCGCTTGTCGCTGGTGACAATATGGATGTTTGTAAAGAGGCCGCCAAACCCATTACCCTGTCTTGTGATGGCTGTTTTTCATTCAAGTAAGGCACAAGGTGGGAGACAAAGCCAAACTGTCTATTGCAGTGTCCGATGTTTACCCTCAAATGAGGTTTTGGGTAAGAGAAAGGGATTTTATTTATGGCTGCGAGGCTGCCCGCATAAATTCCCCAAACTCACACGCATGTGTCAGCCCCCTCAGCTATCCATCTTCTGAAAATATTCTTTGATTTTGTTTCTGTCCCTCTGGGTCCTGAGTGGTGACTGTGGAGCCACGAGTTAACAAATGTCCCAGGAAGACCCCACCCCGTCTCTGTAGAACCTCCATTACTTAAAGAGATCAACTGTGGTCATAATATCTCAGAGACGTAAAAGGTAGTAAAGATCCATTATCCAACCTGCTTATTTTGCAGATGAGGAAACAGGCCCAAGGGTCAGTGGTTTGGCCAAGGTCACATGGCAAGTGACCTGGCTAGCAGTGGTCAGCTGAGAGCCTGTTGCCCTTGACTCTTCTCTCCATGTGCCCATGGGTGAACTCCCTTAGCCACTGGGGAACAGAGTCACCTTCCACAGTAGGTGAAGATTATTACCTCTTGTAGTGTTCTCTAATTTCTTCTGGAAAATTTCAGACATTAGCCAATGCTGTCCTAATGCAGGGAACTCGGTATGTATTCTCTAGGCAGATGGACGCAGGGATTTCCAGCTGCCGCATTCTCTACCCCCGACTCCTGCCATGCTGCGGTCACACTGAATCGCTCGCTGTGGCCCGGCTGTACCAGGAACTTGACTCCAAGCTTTGCCTATGCCCTTCCTGTGTCATAAGTGCTCTTCCTCCCATTCCATTCCCCTCTGCTTAGAAAGCATCTCCATCAACTCTCCTGCATCACCACTGGCTTAAACAGTTCTCTGCAAATCTTTTCCCAGTATCTTCCTGTCCTCCCAGGGAGAGTTCATCTTTTCTTTAACATTCTCCCATTCCCACTGTTACATACATTTGTTCCTGCACTTATGGTGCAATATTCTAATTATCACAGCATTTTCTTACCAGAATTTGGACTCCACTGGAGGCTGGGCACATGGCATATGCACATGTGTGGCTCCAACTCAGTAAGAGTGATGGATGCGTTCATGGCCTTTCCCAAATACTATGTTTTGTACCATGTTTTTAAACTGTTTTCTTCCTGTCTTACCTATGTGCAAAGAGTTAGACCTGTGGGAAGAAGTAGAAGAGACAGGAGAAAGAGGAGGAGAACATGTCCATATATCTGTCTTTCATAGAAGAGAGAATAAGAATTGGCTGAATGTCCTGATTGGGTTCTATGGAAAGTTTTGGCTGCAATAATAAATGCATTGATTCAATTATTCATTCATTCATTAATTCAATTCATTTATTGAATGCAGTGTGACAAGCACTGGGGATATGGTGCTAAATGATAACAGTCAAAATAATCACTTGCCATGGGAAAGGCTTTATTCTCTGTTGGGCCAAGAATATTCTCTAAGTTGCCGAGGCTGGCTTTGAAATTGAGATCCTCCTGCCTCAGCCTCCTGAGCTGCTGGGATTACAGGTGTACGCCACCGTGCTCAGCTTGGGATCTCTGATTATTATAGAAATCATATTAAGTACATTTTGTTGTGTTTGGTAAAGAAATTCAAAGATAGACTCATTATAGCTAACATAGTCTTATCTTGCTTTTCTTTAACACTTTTACCTCCAAAGAATTTCCTAGAAACATATAGTGCAGCTGACAGATGAGGAAGCTGAGGCTTGGGGATTCCAGAGGCTTGGGAAGTCCTGCTTGGTATGGGTGGCACCAGACACATTGGCAAGTTATTGCAGCGATTGAATCTCTTTTCTGCTTAAGGTTTCCCTGCATGGTGGAGCAGCAAGTGCTTGGATTTATTGGACACTCTGCCTTACTAGGACCCCCGAGCACTTTACAACTACATTTTTTTTACTTAGTTGCTTTCCTCCAAAGAGCTTGAATTCTTTGCAGGGAATGTTCAACTTAGAACATTCAAATGTTATAAAGATGAAGCTAATAGGAGAATTGGGGGAGACAAGAGGGAAGAATAAAAAACATTTTCTGTTGGCCTTCTGCTGTGTATTAAATATATGTGACACACCGAGATGCTTGGCCTTGTTGAGGATTTACCATGGGGTTTTTTGAGTAGTGGGCTCCCCTAATAATCTTACCATGTGATTTGATTTATGAAATTTTGATTGGTGCGTAACTTTTCATCTTGGTTCCAAATTGAGTCATCCATATAGCCAATCAATTGGTCTTTCACATTAGTGACAAATAGAAATTGATGACTTTCTCCTTCATCTGTCACCTAGAAAGGGAATATAGAAAGATTTCTGGGACATAAATCTCTCTTCTGCTGAGTAATTTAGGGGAGTCTGTGTCTGCTTTATTCATGCCTTTATTCCCAGGTCTAGAGCAGTGCCTGGCCCACCGAGGGCTTAGTCATGGTTTGCTCTGTGGGTTTTCTCTGAGAAGCTCTGAATCTTGAGTTGACCTTTCAGTTCTCAAATTTCTCCCCTCCCGGAATGCTTAAGAATACTAATCAATTTTATTGTTAGCCCACAAAATAGATAGTTAGGAGCATGAGTATTTTGCCCAGCTGGGATTACAGGTGTAATCCCCCGCTCCCTGCCCCGGTCAATGTCTGCACGTGTGCCTGCACAGACCTCTGCATGCATCAGGATCTCTCTCCTCCCCCTCTTGCTTCACCTCTGCCACCAGCACATTTTTAGGTGGGCAAGGGAGGACTGGCTGCTTTCAGACAGGCACCCGACCGTGTTCTGTGTGTCATTATTCATCCTCACTCAATTCAGGAGCATCACACAGGATGATTTCAGGGTGTTGACCTCCCTCCCCCTTTCCAGAACCCAGTGTGAGCCATAGACACACGCTGAAGTCTTTTCTGCTGAGAAGCTAGGGATGGATTAGGCCTAGATGCTTCATTTCATAGAGGAGAATTACTGGGGTCCCAAAGGCAAAGTGAACTGGCAGAGGTCCCTTTGGCAGCACCAAGGCCCCTGACTCTCAGCTGCCAGGTGGTATCAGGGTATTGGGCATTGCATGCACCAGTTCAGGTCCCCCAGCATCTGTGAAGCAGGTACAGGGGAACACATCTCATGGAGGCAACCTGAAGCTCTCAGGGTCTGTGATTTGCTCAGGCTTGTACAGTGGTAAGTGACCAGGTCAAAGTGGGCAAAGTGAGTAGGATCTGAGTCCTGAGTATCTTCTTGGCAGTCCATTCACAATGGGTAACATCTCAAAGCCGATAGGGGCCAGTGTTCTGGTCCCTGGGCCTGACAAAGTGGGGCTGAGCCTAAGAGAATAGGCAAGTAATGACAGTGAACCTTGGTAAGTCTGGCTTATCTGTTCTGTTTTCTTAAACATTGTGCTTGGTCTCTGCAAGAAAACTAAGCAAGGTCCCAGTGGCAGGAATATCAGAGATGAAAGGATGGGGCCCTTGGTCGGTGACTGCGAGTCCTAGAGATAATAGAGTTGATTTCCATATAATTTTGGTGTGTGGCTGCCTGTGTTCATTTGTGTTAGGGTGACCTGGTTCCCCCAGGCCTCATTTTGTCCCTCAATGAACTTCCCTTTTGGATACAGCAGATTTCAGGCCTGCCTGGCAGGGTGGCCGGTGGCCTAATCAGCCGCATTGGGGTGAACAGAGATCACCATGGCACTGGGAGAACCAGCACTGGTGATAACTTCTCGGAATATCAAAAGCCTGTCTCCAGCTCTGTGACATGCTTTTACAAAGTCTCGCTTTGTGGAGCGAGTCATTTGCAAGCTGGATTTGTGGGGCAGGGGGCGGGAATGTAGAAATTATGGAGAGAGATTTTGCTTCTGTGTAAAACAAAATTGCTTACCAGGCAGAAGGAATGGGCTCTTCTGGACCCCAGGGTCCCCAGAGCTGGAAGTGGCCACAGATAGGTTGGAAAGGGATTTTAGTATCGGAGGCAGGGTTGGACCTGTTACTTCCAAGACCCCTTCCAACCTGGGATTCTGTGATAGAATGTTTTAGCCTTTGGTCTCGTGCTCTCACAGGAAGACATTTCAGGATCATTGTGTCCTCATTAATAACCATTAACAAGAGCTTAGATTGAGGCAGCCATCTGCCTAATTAAAGCTATGACCCCATTTGGTTCCAATTGCTTGGCTAAGCCAGGTAAGACACACAGCCCTGCTGATCCTTTAGTTCTGTCGGTGTGGACCTGGCCCGTCTGCTGCTTCCCTTCTCCCTGTGGACCCTGATGGAGGAGTTGGAGAAGCCCAGGTGATGGAGGCAGCTGCTTAGATCTCAGCCACACTGTGTGTGTGTGTGTGTGTGTGTGTGTGTGTGTGTGTG